ATTCGTTTAAACTATTTTTGATTTTGATATTAAAAGATCAATTCTTCGTGGAAAATCGAAACATTAACTTTCCGATAAGAGCAAAGTATCTTTCTGATAAAAGGAAAGATTCATTCTGACAAAAGGTAAAGTATGTTTAATCAGTTGCACGAGTATCTCGGACGACTATGTGCATTATTAAAGTTGAAAAACCGTGGCTGTCGAGGAAACGCGAGCACAATTAAACCAAGTGCTTGTAACTTCGCAAAATGCTCATCATCATAGTTTTGATGCATAGATATGCATACATAGAATATTTTATAACTGGTAGTATAATTGAATATCTAATGATATTACATGAAAAAGAAATAAGTTGAAATTGTGAAATAAAATTATTTCTTATGAAGTTTCATTTTTGGAAAAAATTGACTTCTTAAAAAAATTGAATTACAAGCTCATATTTTTTTTATTGATGATATAAAAGCGGTATTTTTCGAAATATCAAATTATTAGAAAATATACTTTTCCAATGAAGGTTAAGAAAAAACGTATATAGAATGATATACATGTTCATCCGAGTTCCAACAAGTTGAAAGATGTCACCAAGACCAAGGGAAACTATCTCCAACAGGAATATATCTTCGATTATTGCGCTTCTGCAGAAATATAAGCGTGGAGTTACTCGGACTGCACTCGGACTGTGCACCCGAAAGCTCTTCTGTAAACTCCTCGACATTGATTTGTCAAATGTAAGAGAAATCGTATCCATATGGTAAAAACATTGTAAGTTAAATAATTCGATTCAACATCATGTCGATAATAATATAATTCATATAAGTAATTAATTATAACGTTAAGGGGTAATGAGTTTTAATCCATTCCATCAATTCTAGCTGAAAATGTTATTATAAAATTATGAAAGAGAGAATGATCGACCTATACATTGGAAAAAGACAAACCAAGAGCCAAAATCATGGAAGGCCGTTTGAAGCAACTCGAAAACAAATCAAATCGTGTCACTCGATTCAGAGCATTGCGGTTGGTAATGGAGAATCAGTGATATTGATTGAAAGTGGTTGGCTTAAAATATCTTTTGATTGCAAGTATCCATAAAGAGAACAACCCCGATCTTTTGGATTGATACAAGAAAGAGAGATATAGATATTATAAGACGAATTATTTATTTTTATTTATATTCCCAAAATGATTTATGTACATGATTTTCAAAATGTCGAATTAAATCGTAACTGTCAAGTCGATCAAATTAAAGATTAATCCATTTAAAAAAATGTTATTTTAATTTATAAAATGAATATTACTGAAACGAAAAAAAAAAAAAGAAAAATTAAGGTAAATAATCTTGTGCTATCATGAAATTTCGATCTTGATTTCTTGCTTTATAATAATATACCATATAGAAAACAAAATCATCACTACGTAAAGACAAAATGTGTAACTGATATTTTATAATTAGCATAATCCATTTCGCGAAAAGTACGCTTTTATAATGTGTAGAAAAAAGATCAAAAAGAGTGTCAAACTAGGAGAAGGAGAAAAAAGAACAAAAATATATATATATAAAAAAAACAAAATAAAAAAAGTAGAAGAACAATCGTGTATTACAAAGCTATGCAAATGTTGCCAAGGTTCCTCCTTTTCTCATTCTCTCGAATTTGTCATTTATATTCAAGACGACGAAAGAGATGGGGAATATTCTGGATCGATATAGAATGTAGAAAACTTTATTTCATCTCTCTCTCTCTACACACACACACACACACACACACACACACACACACACACACACACACACACACCGTTACAAGTGAGCTTAGAGACGTTCTCAATGTGTTCAAAACAAATAGGCCGTTTTCAGACGTCGATGTGATTCTGACAAGCTGTTGTCTTTGACAGGAGCTCGACAAGAGAATACATGGCACGCGAACATTCCAGACTGCATAGATCATTGTGAAGCAGGATTTTATATTTATATTATACATAGCTGTTCTTAGATGTAGTAATATTTCGTTGATGTTTCATTCGCAAGAATGTAACATTTTTAGGGGCTCGTCTGAGATAGAAGAAATAAAAAAAAAGTATCAATACATAGCTTCGCAGAAGAGGCGTGATAAGCATCGGTCGGAGAAAAAAGGGGAGATAGAGTTCCAGATGCTGACTCTTCTTGTTCAGAAGCTCCGGAAAGAACCCTGAAAGTAGGGGAGGAAGCTTGTAGCAGAACGGTAATACAACAACCGAAATATACGGTCCGAGATTAGCACCGACTATTTACAGGGTGAGTACCAGATAATTATTGGGGATCCGACTAAAGGAAATTTTTCCGAAGATATGGATATTTGTTATCTGCCATCGTTGGCGGATTTAGGTTGCTCAGTTAACTCGTCAGCAGATTCAAGTTGTACTAATTTGTTGAGAGATTCAAGTCATTCGATTAATTTGTTAATAAGTAATATATAGTTGATTAGGAAGATTTCATTGAAAATTGTTGGTCCACACTTGTCTATTATGCGTACTGTTGTGGAAATCGAGTTAGATTTTCCTTATTTCTCTTATCGATCATCATTCGTACATTTTAGCCCTAGGAAAAGAAAAAGAAACTCTGGTGAAAAGAAAAACAAGACTTAGTAATTTGATTAAGCGGGAAGTTTCCTTTAAAAAGGAAAGGTCGACCACGAAGACCAAAATGCTATGCAGATTAGAGTTGAAGTGAGTAAAGAGAGAAAGGAAGAGAGAAGAACACTACCGGTTATCGTCCGACTCCCGGAGTTTCTTAAACCATGGTTTTCCCTCCGGGCAAAGAGAGTTAATGCTCCAGATCGATATTAGGACGGAGTTGTTCAATAGGTAAGCCCCATGGTAGCCCACCGCCTCCCCAAGGAGGTATTCTAAGCGAGAACGGAAAAGATCGGAAGGAACCTGAAAGAGAACTATTGCCAAGTAGAGCCCAAGAAACGGATACCGCTTTAGTTCCTGGAGGACATCGGGTTGGGACCGAGGAACAGGGCGGCATGAAGGATTCAGCTAGGATCAAATGTTTTCACCAAAGAGTTCTAGAATCGAGTTCTTGGAACAAGGAAAAGTTGGAAGGAATCCGCTTGGCGAAGACCTTAGTTATCGGGACAATAATTCGAAGAATGAGGGCAGTGTTACAATTCTAAAGACGTCCTGAGTGTGTTCGGAATAAATAGACCGTTTCCAGGAACCGAGATGTTGACAGATTTCGACAAACAGTTGTCTTTGACAAGAGCTCGATGAGAGAAGAAGTGGAGTACGAACGCTCCCGACTGCGAAGATTATTGTAAAACCGGGTTGTATATTGAGCTATTCTTATTTGTAATAAAGTTTTGTTGACGTTTCCTTTTTAAAAGTGTAATAATATTTAATCCGTTAGCTATTTATGACGAATATATAATGAGTATAATACTAAGTAATATACAAATTGATTATATTTAAAATAAAAGCTACTTGAATACCTCGTTTGTTAAGTGCAATAGAAAAAGAACGTATTAAAAAAAGTTTCATGATTTCATATGTCAAATATTTTAAGAGGTCAAAATATAAAGTACCTGATTTCCGATTAAATTGAAAGTTTAACGATTTTTAATTTTTCCGATTTTAATGCTTTTTATATAAAAGAACTCCATGTATTTTTCTAATTACTTAGATATTTTAATCAATTATCTTCAAAAAATTATTAAACAAGTGTAGGCTTGAAGTTAATAATTAATGAGATATTAGCGTGTATAGTTATATGACTATATGACATAATAGTACATAACCAATAATACATACTTCCATACGTAAACAATTTTAAGAGAACATGAAATAATGAAAATTGTACAAAACCAGCTTACAATAAGTTTAGTTATTATCTTACAAAGACTGTTAATTGAAAACAAAAATATGAAAATTAATTTATAATAACAAAAAAGATAATAGCTTACTTAATTCAATAAATCCCCAAAGTATTCACTATTTTCTTATATGTACAATCGACATCTTATAACCATACTTCTTCATACTTTTTCTAACATTTCAGATGTTATTTAATTAACGGCATTTATAATCTTCGCTTATAATTTTTCAAAACCTTATTTATGAAATTAGTATTGTAGTTTTTGTTAACATAGCATCGAGTAAATAATATCTCATTAATTATTAACATTAGTATCTTTATTTATTTAATAGTTTTTTTAAAAATAATTGTTTAAAATATCTAATTAATTTTGAAAATATTATATGTTCCATAAGAAACACTAAAATTCATTAATTTCTAATTAAACCGGAAGTCAAGTGTTTTATATTATATTCTTAATATATTTGATACATGAAATCATTAAACTTTTCTTAACATATTCTTTCTTGTATTCCTAACTAACAAGATATTTAATTACTCTTTTAATTTATAATCAACGAGTATAATATAATAATGTGTTTTAAAAATATACCTATATATATACATATATTACTTATACTTTATTTACCATTTGTCTATATTTTATATACAATATATGCATACAGACATAAAAAGAAAGAGAAAGAGAAAGGATGCAAAAAAAAAGATCGTCAAAAATTATCAAAGAATAAATAGCAAACTCTTTTCGTTCTATGCATATTTACTTTTCAACGAATATTTTTTTTATTTATTTTTTCAACAGACGTATAAACAATGATTTGTAATGTAAGATATAAACAAAAAAATACTATCACAGGATCTGTAGCGTAGATCATATTCCGTTACTTTATTTTACCTTTCTCTTTTTCTACCCCTTTTTCCACTATCTATGCTTTTCCTGATTCAATTTTTTCTTGCTATTCTATCTTTCTTTCCCTCTTTTTGGACAGCTCGTCGTTTCTTCGTGCAGAAACTCCCTGACAGCGGCTCGCAGTAATGCTCTTTAAACGACACTTCCCTTACGCCGAAATTCAATTTGCCTTTCAAATTACTTTCCCCTCTTCGCGCCGTCGCATGTGACGACGATGATGACAACGAAAAAGAAAGAAAAAGTAACGGAAAAGTACTCAGCTGAGTTCCTTTTCCCTCGAGATACAAGCTCGACTCAAACACTAGAAGAAAAGGAAAAAAAAGGAACTCGTTATAGTTTTTCGCCGAGTCCGATTAATGACGATCAATAATTATCCTTCCTTCCTTTCTTCCTTCCTTCCTATCTCTCTCTCTCTCTCTCTCTCTCTCTCTCTCTCTCTCTCCCTCTCTCTCTTTCTCCCTCTCTCTCTCCCTCCCTCTCCCTCCCCCCTCTCTCTCGTGTTAGAAATCTCACTAAAATATCTTTCATTTTATTTATATAATTCTTACAAAATATGTATAGAAATTCTTTCTTGTACAAACAATACAAACAAATACAAACTATCTAATATCTAAAAATCTATATATAAAATAAGATTATATTTCATACACATATATGTAATATAATGTATATAATATATCCATATATACCTATAAGTTAGATATATAATATAACTTATATAGATTTACAGATATTAGATAATAGGTATTATAGGTAATTAGATAGAAGATACAGTTTTCTCTTCGATAGGATATATAAGATATATCTGATATATTTATAGATCTTTAATATATGGATTATCTATTCATAAATGTCCAAGAAATATCTTGCAAGTAATTGAAATTACAGTTTAATAAGAGAAATTTTCACGATTCTATATGCTATTTGTAATCAGCTACAAAGTGCATATACAAATATTCTTTTACACATGACCTTTTCGAGTTAAGAAGATCAACATAGCTTTTTTAAATCATTTGTAATTAAATTCATAGGTAACAAAAAATTGCTATGTTGTACCGTTTACAAGGTAATCGACATTTTAAATATTAAAGTAGTTAGTTTTCCATATCACAATTCGAAAAACAATCGTCAGACTATAGAATATTTTGAAGTCAATTACATCGAACAAAATCACCTTTTCAAGATACAGGACTGCTTGATTTGTAAATAATGTGTTTGTATAGCATTATATAATAATATATTTGTATGCAGTAAAGTATGGAATTATTCAATTGTTAAGATGCCGATTTTTTTTTCTCATGACTTCAATCAGTCATGAGACATCTGTTCATCCATCGACAGAAATCCTATATATATGTATATCCTTTTGTAATGACCACATATATTGTACGAAATAATAAAATTCATAATTTTGTTATCTACAAAGTGTTGTCGGGAAGATATTTCGGACTTTCAGAAAAAAACACAAGCACCAATATCAGATAAGGAGCTTCAGTTCGGAAAAGTCTCAGTCAAAGTTATCGACAAAAATCTTAGAAAAGTGGAGTACGGACACTGTACACTGACTGTTTCTGATTAAATTTTGCCTAATCTGGGAAGAATTCTTGCTACCTGTGATTTCATCAGAACGTCTCCAGAGATGTTACAGCGGTTGTGACAAAGTCTTTTGTGACAAAACTGTCATGCTTGCATCGACGCTGCAGGATACCATTTTAAATATTTGCTGTAAACATATTCATCTTATTCTGGTATGATACAATGTAGTAAGTGGTAAATGAAGTGTTATATAGATAATTAACAATTAAAATTTATGTATTAGGATTTTCTACGATTTTGGCTGATAATTTTTGACTAAGATATTTCCAGACTGGGGTTTCTTATCTAATATTGGTACTTGTGTCCTTTTCCATTATCCCTGAAAGTCAGAAACATCATCACGGAAACATTCTGTATACATATATCTTATATATATGTTGACTTGAAGGTTCCAGGGCAAGTTAATTGTGTACGTGTATATGTATAAGATAAGCTTATTAATAGTTACACAAACGATGAAAGGTACTAGAGTTAATCAGTTGTGTGTAAGTGTGGCCATCCCATATCAGCCGTAGTGAATCGGCCAGCGACATCACTATTATGAGTCAGAGCCAGTACGTCAGGATGGGTTCGCCATCCTTGAAGGTGAGAAAGATCACAGTCAAAAGGTTCGGCGGAGGCACGAGTACGACGTTGGGAGAATTTCGTCCCTCGGCAGAAATAGATGGCGTGGCTTTTCCGATGACGATCCACGTGTCGGATAAGTTACGACCTATTATTAGGCCTCGATTTTTTATGTAACGTGCGGTATGAAATTAAGGACGATAGCGTTAACATTAAGCCGAAAGAGAATATCGCGGAAAAATAATCTCCAGAAGTATTTAGAATTAATATATAATCAGGTGAAATAGATTTATCACATATCCCTGATCCTAGCATTAGAAAAAGAGTATAGATGTCAATAAAGAGCTCAGTATAGATGTTCCGAACGAGCCGGGATGTAGGAATTAAATTGTTCATCGTTTTTAAAGACCACGAGTTCTTAAGCCACCTTATAGAGGATGGTCGCATTTTCCCATCTAAGTGAAAGATCAAAGCCGTGTACGAATTCTCAGAACAGGCCATAATCCGACAAGTTACAGAATTTTTTCGGCTTGGCGGGTTACTTCCGCAAATTTATTCCAAAATACTCAGAGATTGCGCAACCGCTGACGAACCTATTTAAGAAGGATGCAAAATTTAATTTCGCAGAAAGAGAGAGGATCGCGTTCTACGCGTTGAAAAAAATTGTGCGATTTCCCGTGTTTAAGATTGTATCGCGCCGGAGCGGAGACCCAATTCCATACCGATGCCAATTAATTCAGGACCCTATTCATGCAAAAAAGCGGAAAAGATCCACTCCGTGGATCGTCCGCGAGCGAACGAACGATACCTGCAAAGAGCAAATACGCAATAGAATTACGAATTAGAAATTCATCATAGAAATTCAAATGCTCGCGATCGTAAGAGCGTTGTGGAAGCTCAAGATCTACCTAATAGATATTTCTTTTAAGATCGTCACTGATTGTCGTGCGTTCACGTTCATAATGAGGAAAAAAGATTTGTGCGTACGGATAGCATGTTGGGCATTAGGCTTTGAAGAATTTCATTAGACCAGAGCATCATCATGATAAGAGTATGGTGCACATGGACACTGTGAATAGAATCCCAGTTTCGATGTATTTCATGTTAAACCGTTAAATTGACGTTATGGCTGCGGCAAACGCAGAAAGACGATGTGAACATTAGAAGTATTTACGAATTGACCGTAGCGGGAAAAGATAACGAGTATGAGATTCATGGAGAAGTACTATTTAAAAAAGTTGAAGGAGATTATGTATGATGGTACCCAAAGAGATACAGACATCGATCATCAGAAAATGTCATGAGATCGGACACTTTGGCGACCAAGACCGAGATGCTCTTGAAAAAGGAATTGAAAATTGACCTGATGGTGGAGCTTAAAAGATGTGGCTGACTATTACAACGAAAGAATTATCCATTTACATTCAGTAATATTTATTTTAATTAATTTATGTTATCTTTAAGAGAAATATTTAACTGGGCTGGTTCGAATCCAGAACAAAAAAATTGTATTAGTGCTGAAAAAATTCTCTAAGCTGGTCATCTAATAAAATGTGGAAAAAATGAAAAGAGTATAAATAGTGATGTTGTGAGTTTTACAGCATTGTGTTTACAAAGTTCTCATTTAAAAGAACGAACACATGAAATTAACGGATCAATTTCCAAAAATGGAAAAATTTTATCCGTTAAATGCTCATGTAAAGTAGGTTTGGGTGGATAGTATAAGCACATGATGGCCACTTTATTACATTGCTACAGATATTCAAATTTCTAACTTTAAATGTCATTGAGTAAGTCATTGAAACTTATTACGGTCTTATTAAATTTTTTCTGACATAAAATAATAAAAAATAAATTTTTTCAGAAAAAGGGAAGAACTTAGTGTTTTTTCTTATACTAATAAAAAATGTCAGTCGAAAAAATGTCCTCAAACAATATAATGGTGTTTCAATCCACCAACATGGTTGCTTTTCGAGTTCTAAACGTAAAGTCAATCTAATAGAAAGTCCAGCAGAAGATTCAGTAGCTGTCAATAATTTTTCTGATCAACATGATCTTGATAATGTTAACACATTGCATATGAGTTACGAGATATCTCGTTTTCATGATTTTTCGACTGAATCAATGACTTAAGCAACCAGAGATGATGTTTTTGTTACGTTACCATGGTAATGAAGCTTTACGATTATTACACCGTATTTTGGATATTGTCACCATCTTTATATGGTATACGCAGAGCGCCGTACGCAATGTGTTAATCAAGGGGAAGTATTGGAGCAATTAATATCTACAAATGCAATCAAACGTAAATCCCCTGCATCTAGCATCATCAAACCTTGGTCTATTTTAGTAAAATTTATGAATGATAGTTTTATAAATAGAGTTTCCACCTGCACTTCAACGTCACTGTATGTTTTTTCGACAGGTATTTCAACAGTATTGTCATTTTTAGAACACTCTTTATCACTTTTATCTGGTACAATATTATCTAAATTAGCAACACTAGAATCCCTACAAAGACTTTCTCGGTTTTCTGTAACCTTCTTTTTTAAGTTCCGTTTCATTTGATGTCGACGTCGTGCTTTTTTACTCGTTTTAGCTTTTTGCGATGCTCCAAAACTCGGCAAATTATATATCTTCTTCAAAGTCATCTTTTTTGATACAATATCTATACAAAATATTGAAAATTAATTAAATTTACAATTTATTGAATTGTATCAGTACGTATCTTTTAGGTTAAACATTGTCCTTGCCTGGTAATACAAAATCACTTCTTTCAAAATGCAACGAACACACTCTCATATACGGATTTATATTTTTTATTTTTAGAACGCGTTGCCAGACTTTTATCCTATCGATTTTTTCTAATTTTCCGAATATATTTTCGACATAAACAAAACTGCTACTAAGCTTAAGAAGAGCATGAAATCTAATTAAAATTTTCATCTGATTTACTACCACAATCTTTCACGGCACAATGAACTCTGTTTTTATTTTGTTTACGCAGAGATAATTTCATAACTTCTATAGTATATAAAAAAAATTTTACTTGCCTTTTTATATTATTTTAATGAATCTTATAATTTATTAAAACTGGTTTCTTTTTTGGCCACCAGATGACATGATCAAAGTGCTCAGTTC